AAAAAGAAAGTACAATATGATTGCTACTACCTACAATTTTACAATAATTGCTTTACTCTTCATTTAAAAGTACACTGACTAGATGCCTCAGGCCAGAGCTTCTCAACTCTGGCTGCATATTAGAATCACCAGGGGTTTTTAAAAATACAGATGCCCAGGCCCCCTCCCAGTCTTTTGGAGGGAGAAAAGTGTTTTTTAAAGTTCTCTGGGGATTCCAATATATAACCAAGGTTGAGAATTATTGCCCTAGATGATTTTTTTTTTTTAACTTAGTCATGCTCTAAATAAGACAGGAGGAAAAGAAAACAGAACCATATCCTTTACATCAAATTATGGTGAACACTCAAATAGAATTTAAATACACAAAAAATAAATTTTTTCCCACTTCTCAAATGAATTAGGTGCAGCTTGAAAAGCAAGAACTTTGTCTGCTTTGGTCACTCTGTGTTCATTTAAAGATATTCTGAAAATCTACTTTGAAAACCAGAAACAGGAGGCCAAACGACCGACTGCTTGATCAGGTCAATTAGGTTGTGAAGATGAAGACTCACATTTTAAAATAAGCATCTTAGCCTTTCCAGTATCCATGCCAATCAGCTTACTTCTTCTCATTATATTGATACTTCAGTCTGGAAGCAGTGAAGCAACATCTGTGTGTCCCAGAGCCATAAGCTTTGAAGCAGTGTTTTGAATTAGAAGGGAACAACACTTACTGGGCAGTGCAAAACCAAAACAGGACAATCTGATTCCCTTCGAACCCTGCCTGTCGATAGCTCTGCTCCTATCTTAGCCGGAGTCCTTCAGGGTCTGCCTACATCTGATAACATTCCATCAAATGCCATGGCTTCTTCTCCATAACAGAAAACAATCCTTGCCTTACGCTATCCCATCTGCCAGTGCTGTACAAGATACGTAGGGAAGTCATTTCTTGTTGTTAGCACATGTCACGCTGTCAGATGGGAAAACAATTTTCCCAAGTAAAGATCAGACTTGCCAGATGCACATGATATTCACCAATCATTACACTGCACTGCACTCGAAACCACTCATTACTCTCTAAGAGCGAATGCACTGAACCTAGACACACGTAAAGTGGAAACGCTGGCATTTTACTAAACACACTATGGGAACACAGGAAACACACGGCGGAAACACTGCGAAAAGGGCTGAAACCACAGCCAGTGCCGGAAGAGCTAAGACGTACATAATGCCAAACCAGAAAGAACCGTTAACCAGCCTCTTCAGATATTTTTATTTATTTTATTATTGTTATTATTTACTGTTTAAGCCAAGAGAAACTTACTGAATCAAAGTGGGGTGCCCAGAAACGTAAAGGGTTAGCACCTTATCTTACGTAACCAAATCATCTTTCACACAGGGAAAAAAAAATTATCTTCTACAATTTTATTTATTTTTAATGCAAATTCTAATT